TTCTTTCTCCCATCTTTCTCCCCTCTTTCCCCCTCTTTCTCCCTTCTTTCTCCCTTCTCCCTCCCTTCTCCCTCTTTCTCCCTTCCTTCCCCCTCTTTCTCCCTTCTTCCCTTCTTCCCTTCTCCCTCCCTTCTCTCTCCTTCCTTTCTTTCCTCAACCAACTTCTTTAGTGGTAGTTTTCAATACTCGTTCATTCAACTGGAAGAGCCAAAAGCATGGGAAAGACAAGGGGAAAAGGAAAAGAGATCAGAAAGATAGAGAAAAAATGAGAAAACCCTTGTTTAGTAAGGGAATGTTGAGGTGGAGATTCAATCTGATGATTGTTATCTTGGAAAACATTTAAACTTCTTGTACTTTGTCATCAATAAGAAATAGCTTTGAATTTCACCTTTGTTTTCACTTATTTTCACTTATTTTCAATTATTTTCACTCTGTTCATTGTTTTGAACAGGTTTTATTTCAATTTTTAAAAAAAGGAAAAATCTTTGTCTTCAGCTGGGATCGAACCCACGAGGTTTGGGAATGCCTTTGACCAATGCTCTAACCGACTGAGCTATCGATGCATGGTTGCCCTCCCTCCGAAAGGGCGTTTTAACAAGTCTAGAGCTGCAATTTAAAATAAAAATTTTGGCACCGGGAGGTGTCGAACCTAGGACCTCTCGAAAGAGAGGTGTCCCTTGGCCAATGCTCTAACCGACTGAGCTATGGATGCATGGCTGCCCTCCCTTCGAAAGGGCGTTTTAACAAGTCTTGAGCTCAAAATAGGGACCATCAAGGTTGCGCGGCCCTAGACGGCCCTAGACGGCCCTAGACGGTCCTAGACCGTCCTAGACGGCCCTAGACCGTCCTAGAAAACCCTAGACCGTCCTAGAAGGCCCTAGACCGTCCTAGAAGGCCCTAGACGGTCCTAGAAGGCCCTAGACGACCCTAGACGGTCCTAGACGACCCTAGACGGTCCTAGACGGTCCTAGACGGTCCTAGACGGTCCTAGACGGTCCTAGACGGTCCTAGACGACCCTAGTGAATGGCAATTCCATTCGGCAATTAATGGCAATCTTCATGACCCCACAAAGTACCCATTGCCAGTCTTTTATCAGAATTTTATATCAATCGTAGTAAATCGATTCTTTTAATGGATGAGAGACAGGTAAAACAATCTGATGCACCAGAAGAGATATGTTTACACGTTTTCAGCACAAAGTACCCCTCAATAAACGGCATTGTCATTCAACTTTTTTCTTTTTTTTTTCCTTTCTTCCTCTAAATAACCCAAATTTCAACTTTTCCACTTGTTTTAGGCACTCACAATTTGCTCATCTTTAAAACAGAAAAGTCAATTCTCTGAAATCATCGATGCGTAAAGCTTTTCGCCGTCAAAAGAGACAACTTTTTTTTCTCGAAAAGCCGAAAAGAAGGTACTCGTTTTCTTTAATTTAGCCACTTATCTCATGCACTATGAGCATCATCGACTTTTCTCGAGGTCTAAAAATGTTTCCTTTTTTCAATATTTTTATTAATAGAACGTTTTAGGGAAGTTTTAGCTAAATTTTAGCTAAATTTTAGCTTTTTCAATTTTGATTTTTGGTTTAGATTCTATATTTTAAAGCTTTAAAAGCTAAATTTCTTTTCTTTTTTTTTTAAATACCGACTGAGGCTACCAGTGGTGAATTTATCGCATACACGAAATATATCAATCACAATACAACGACACACACAATACTAGGCTATATCTTAACTTAACCCACGTCATGACAGACGGCTCCCTAACCCTAAGCTCAATCGGGAACTAAATAGCTTTTTTGGTGGTGAAGGGAAGATGACGATAAAGGAGTGGCTTGTCACTTTAAAGAACTGGGGCCACAACCACCAGACTGCCCTCCAGAAAACCTCTCAACCCGAAGGGAAAGGAAATCCGAAGGGGGTGACCATGTCGCATGTGGGGTTCGAACCCTCGACCTTCCGATTAAGATAAAAGACACTTAACCAGTCAGCCACACGTGCTTACACCTGTTTCTTTTCTTTTCTTAATAGAATGTTTCAAAATTGTAAAGGGCAGGCAACCTATCCCTCTTTTTCGAGATTTATTCAAAGTTACTAAGTAAATCCAAGAAAATCTAAGAAAAGAATAAAAAAAATCTAACTATGGAAAAACTATGGAATTTTGTTAACTTATCCCGGCTTTTTTGACTCCGGAAATACCCTATCTGATGCAGTTTTTCACACTGATTCCGAATCTGCAATCAGTTTTGATCAAACGCTTCTCTATCGCGAGATATTTGATATACAAGTTTTTGGGGTCTCTTGGGACGGAAAAACAGGGACGCTCTGGCTTTATAGGAAACAATAAAACTAAAAAATGTTCATTGAAAGGACTTGAACCCTGGGGGTCCAAAAGGACCTACGCCCGGCTGACGCGCGCACTAACCACTACACCACCGAGGCCGTTGACTGAAGACAGTGCGTCGCCCTCATAAGACCCCAAAAACTTGTATGCCAAATATCTCGCGATAGAGAAGCGTTTGATCAAAACTGATTGCAGATTCGGAATCAGCGTGAAAAACTGCATCAGATAGGGTATCAGATCAGATCAGATATTTTCCTAGAAGTTGACAACGTTCCCTAGAAGTTGACAACATTCCCTAGAAGTTGACAACGTTCCCTAGAGGTTGACAACATTCCCTAGAAGTTGACAACGTTCCCTAGAAGTTGACAACGTTCTCTAGAAGTTAAAGATAGGCTATTTCCCGAGTCAAAAGCCACAATAAGTTAACAAAAATTCCCTAGTAAGAGAAGCTTTTCCAAAAAAGGATCATTTGGAAAAGTTTCTCTTACTAGGGAATGTTGTTAACATATCGGGACCTCAAAATCTCTAAAAGGACCTCGAAAAGGACCTCGAAAACTAAATGACCTCAAAATCAAAACCCAAAAAGCTAAATAAGCCAGATTCAAGAAGCATCCAAGGATACAGTCAACTGTCAGAAAATCAAGATCATTCTTTGTACCAAAACATCTCAATTTTCAATTAAGTGAATGAATCCTGAGCAAATTTGAAAACTTTCCTCGTGTACTTTCCCCTCATCGAGAAAATCCAAGCTTCCCTTTCCCCATTTCTTTTTTTTTTGAACAGATCACAGTGCGATTAGTAAGTCGGTCATCCTTTTCTCTTCACAAAATTCTCTCGTAAACCCTTCTAGAAACTCTGAACATTCCACCATTTCACTTTATTTTTATTGAAATTCAAAAATTTTCTATTCTCTCAGATCGATTCGACGAAACTCTGTTCTCGTTTTCAAAAGGATACACTTAAGAAAACGATACTATATTCTTTAAGACTCACCCTTGCTCAATAGCGCTTAAAATGAGCTTTATCGTAAATACTATAATACTACCCTTGTACAGTCGCGTAGTCGCAAGGGTTTTTTAGTATTTCATTGTTTTTCAAAGCACCCGTACTTCCAAAAAATACGTTTTTGGTATCAAAAAATAGCCCTGAATTTCAGCTATTTTTTGATACCTAAGCGAGCATTGTAGCATAAACCAGTGTCGAGAAAAACTCGTTCAAAGCTAGACTACGCAACACTCCGCACCGTCATTATAGGGGTGGGGTACTATTACAGTATTTGCGGTAAGTTTTCTTGAAAGAAGCAAAAATGAAAGAAAAGCGTTAAGTTGCGTAGTTTTTGCCTTTTAGCCCAGATTTGACGTGTCAGCGAGGTCTGATTTGTCAAAATTCGGAATCTACGCATACGATTCCCTTATGTGGATATATTTTCGAAGCTCTACGGCCTTGCCTAAGGCCTTTTCCAGCAAAAAAAAAGGTCGCATTTGTCCCACCCCCACCTTTTTTAACTTTTTAATGTTTTAAAGCCTTTAAAGGTTTTACTTGCTTTACTTTTAACCTTTTTAAACTTTTTAAACTTTTAAAGCTTTTACTTACTTTACTTTTACGTTTACTTTACTCATTACAGAAAAAAACCAACCCAATCCCTACTTTGTGCTCTAGCAAATGCCCACTCTCTGACACACTAGACCAATTTTTATGTAACTTCTAACAAAAACTTCTAAAATATAGTTTCCCGCTCGGTATGCGTGTGTTTTTTCTTTCTTTGATGCTGATGCGCGCCGCCAACCTTTACAAAACTCGTGATTCATTGTGTTTTCCCCGATGGAAATTGGGTAAACGGTTATAACTTTGATGAAAAACTAGTATCCAAGCTTGTGAAGCCTAGGGAACAACTTTACCTTAACGTTTTAGTCAAATTAGAGCAGCTAGTCAACCTTACCTATACCCCATTCTCTTTTCGGGTTTACCTTTCTTCTTTTCTATTCGTCTTTCTGCCATTTCTCTTTCTTTTCTTTTCTCAAACGATCAAACTCGCTCGGGTCCATCCGTCATTCAATATAGTGCAAATATACATTCGAGCGGGTGAGCGGAGTGCAAGGGGCGGTAGCGACTTTGCACCTCCACTCCCGTTGTGTCTAACACCCCATTTCCCTCAAAACTTACCCCTACACACTCTCTAAACTGAACCATTTCTCTCGCGGTTACAAGCTTTTTAAAATTCAAATCTCTTTGAGCTCTTCTTTCTTGCGTCGATTCGATGAAAATGCGAAAGTTTTGGTGAATTTGCTCTTCGTTATAGATTTTTACGTCACTTTTGCAAAAGCTGGACTAAAACCCCAGCCGAACGTTTTGTTTTAAACATTTCCATCTAATTGTGAGACCGAAATGTCATCTATTTAGCTGTTTTTAAACCTTTTCAACTTATCTATCCCTTAAATCTTCAAAACGCTTTGTTCGATTACCCACTTTATTATTTCGATTCACGTTTTCAATTCTTGAATTTTCGTTTTCAATTCGGTTCATTAAATCTTTCATTTTTAAAATTTCAGTTTCCTCAAACTCCTTCCCGAAATCGATCAACGAGTGTCGACGCGTGAACGGCGGCTCTTCAACTTCTCTTTCGGACGGTGTGTGATCGGCCACTCTGGAGCTCCAAATGATCAATCCTTACCACCCGCTTCATATGGGCATCATACCGCCGCATTTAAACGTATTGTTTTTAAATCTTTTTCTTAAAATTCTTAAAGTAGCAGGCACTTTTCGGTTTAAGACATCAATTCATAAAAAAGTTGGCGGTTTTCTGCGTTTTTCAAGAAAAAAAAGGCTGTATTTAGCCTCAATTTCTTCTGTTCTACTCAAATTTTTCTATGATTTACGATTTAAACCGAAAAGTAGATCATAGGAAAATCTCTCTAAACCCTAACCGCCGACAAAAAAAACTAAAGCATGTGTGCATATGCGTGATTTTCTTTTGCACTAGATCCACTTACGCACAAAACGGTGACAAGCTAAATGGGCTAACTCTTCTAGACTTTGAAAGCAATTTTTCTCGTTGTAAACAAAAACATTGCAAAAAAGCTAACTTCTTTTTAGTGTTCCGTTTGCGAATTTTCTTACATTTGACCTCACACAAAGTTGCCTGACTAACGAAATAGGGTTTTGGTTGATGAATTGCCGATAGATTTTTGGAGAAATTGATTTCCAATGCCTAATTAAAGATCCTAAAAAAGTATCTTTTCTTTACCGTTTTAGTAGTTTTCTTGTCTCTTTTCCGAAAGCAGAAATATTTCCATTTCCATGGTCACTTTAGGATCAAAATTGCAATCGTTGATGGCTTTGCGCGACATCCTCAAGGGTTACATATTAGCTTTTGAATAGGTTTTCATTTCTTGGCCAATATTGACTTTGAGATTTCATTTTCACATGTATCTATGCTTGAAAGCGACCTCTAAATGTTCGAAAGATGGCTCATAACCACTTTTGATAATTTGACTGGTCGAATTGACGGCTCTTATTTAGAAATCCTCTTGCACGATCGCTACTTGGAGATTTAAGTGTTCTTTTCCTTTCACAAAAGGGCAAAATTAGTGGCTGTTGGTGATTTCGTCGCTACATTTGTGCGAGATGGATATCCGAGTGCTCGATTGACGACAAGCGAGTTGCCGTTTTCAAACCAGTCTCTATCTCTTTTCCCCCTTCCCCCGCGCACAAACGCCCGAGAACCCGCCAGCCGTGGTGGCAATCTTCAACTTTCTCCCCCCTTTTTCTTTAATTTCATTGTTTGATACAAGATTTAACTTTTCATCGTGAAAAATTCGTTCTTTCTAATAGCCGATTTATTTTTACGGATGGTGTGCAATTGTGCGGTTAAGTGTTCATAATCGGGTGCGCTTTGGGGGTACCCTTCTCACTACTTGCTTTCTCTTATTGCCCTTTTGGTAGCGGAAGTGCGCCTGCGTCTTTTCTTCGGCTTGTACAAGTTATTTTCCCATATTTTTTGATGGTAAACCTTCAGCCGTATTCGATGATAATGCTCCATTCATTTGTGGGGAAAAAGCATTTGGGCTCTTCTCTTTGTGTTTGTTTGGTTGCTTCTTAAGAGAGCGGTCAGCACGAAGACTTTTGCTTGGAGTGGACTAGCATCTTGTCTACGAGAAAGCCTTTTCCCTCACCGTAAGCGGTAGGTCAACATTTGGTAGCAAATCTTTGCCCAGATCATTTTCTTTACCAATTTTTTTTTGATCACATTAGAAATTTGATACAAGCAGCACATCTCGCTACTGTTTTTGAGCCAAAGACTTTGGAACTGCCATTTTCCTCGGCGAAATTTGTTCGATCGATTGTGTCAAAGAAATTTCCCGCTTTCATGTCGTGTGATTTGAGAGAACAGTAATGCGAGGTAAACAGAATGACTCTCTTTTCTCTTTCTCCCTGCCACCCAAAAGGAAAAACCATCGAGTTAAGTTGGGTAGTTACCGGTTTTGCAAGTTTCTATTAGTACTTTTGAAATTTGTGCACATTCTCTATAAGAAAACGCAATAGAAATTAAATTTCAATTCCGATTAGTTCTTTTCTTTTTCTGCTCACTTATTCACAGCAAGGTCACCAATTTGGAAAGCCTGCGCTTTATCGACTCTTGAAATCTAGCACAAATTGGGTCACTCTTCGATGATCTCTTTTATTCAGTCTTTTATGATTTCAATACCTTTTACTGGTCCTTTCTTTATCCATTGAAATTTCTCACGGTATCCGGATTAGTTTATTTGCCGTAGGGCTTTGAAGAAGACACTTTCCCGCGGACTTATAGGGAGATTTCTGGCAAAGGAAATTTAAATTGAAGACTAAAATAGGCTCTGTCTCACTTTTGTCAAAGCTTGGAACTAAATATGTTTTTAAGATTGGAGTTTTCTGGCGAAGAATATTTTAAAAAAATTGAAACTAGGATCGGTTTAATTTTTTTGTTTCGAGTCCTTGAATCAATCTAAAAGCTAGATCGAAAGTTTCTGGGGTGCGCGCACGGTTTTACAACGGCGACCCTTTGCGATTTGGGGCCATAGTGATGGCAGTGGTCTCTCTTGAGTGAAGGTGGAGTGCGACTCGAAAGAGGAAGAAAAGAAAGAGAAAACGCAAAGGAATAGAGGGCGCCAGCTTGCCTGGAAGACAACTGCCGATCCGAGTACAAAGCGCTTCAATCCATATCTTGGACTAACCGAAATAAAAGCTTTCATTACTTCCTCCTACTATTGATCTATTGTTAATCCGTGTCGGAAGATCATTTCTTGTGTTTTCTCAGTGACAACACTCTCCCGTCCGCCGTTGATTAAACAGACTTTTGAGTGTTGGCCCGAGCAGCAAAGACGTGAGTGACCACTCTGTATTTGTAACAGTGAAGAGCAGTCCGAACATTTCAGTGTTGGTGGTACTTTCTCTCTAAACAGAGTCTCTCGAGATGTCGACACAGTTTTCTTCTTCGTCCACTCTGTCTTCGCAATCGCATCTCTTGCCACCAATTCAGAGTTCCAGTTTTCAAGTTGGTCGCAGAGAATATTTAACTTTTTGATGAAAAGCTCTCTCATTGTTTCTGATTGATTGGGTGACCGGCTTTTTTTTCGAGAAACACCATTGATCGGCGTGTCCTCAATAGTGCTCTTTTCTCTCTCGATCCTTTTGCTCAAATCCCTTTTGCGCAGAAATGACCGTATCACCTGAAATAGCTCCTGATCGCAGTGGGGAAACGAACTGCATTTCAGTTTTCCGTTCATTGAAAAATTGACCCAAAAAATTTTATTTTCAATCATCCGGATATAAATCATCTTTGTGAAGATTTTGAAAGACTAAAATTTACACGCTCATTACGACTTCTCTTTACAATCCTCTATGAGTTGCTCACCAATCAACAAAAACATTAGTTTACTTTTTAATTCGTTAACCTTTTTTTTGCTAGTCAGGCAACTTTGATTAATCATGATATTTAACGGTTTAACAAAATCTTGTCTCGTGTCAAAAACCCATTGTATGTACACAAAACTACCTTTTTTTTTGTTTCATTACGATCATTTACACTGAAAACTAAACGAGAACTTAGCAACTTTTTACATTAACCATTTTCTAATGATGAACAATAACGTAAATTATTGTCCGTTTTGACTAGTGGCTAACAGTATACGATCGGGGTTCACGACACGGTACACGATTTTGTTATAACAAGAAACTTTTTGTAATGAACATTCTGATGTGTTCATAAAACGAGCTTTGCCACCCTTGCAGGGCTCAACGACTGGTCGTAACTCGGCCAGCCCTAAACTTGACACCGAGGACCCGAGTGCCGCAATGACCGCCCACGGCTCTGCATCAGCCGCCGATCTCGCCTCGACCCCGCACAGTACTAACGGTAACCCCTGTTCATTTCTGGTTTCAACTGCTCTTAACAAGGGCCTAAATGATTGTTATAATCAAGAAAAGACTAGTTAATTCAGATTAAACTCTTGATAGTAGATTTAAAACATGCCAACGGTACTTGTGAATCTTGTGGACGAAAAACGAAAAGTTCCATAATTGAAATCCTTCCTAATTCAGTTATAAGGTGTTGTATAAATTTACGCTCATCAGATTCACAACTACCTAATCAACCCATTGGCTTGTTTTTAAAAGTGTTATTGTCTGATTTTTTAAAAATACTAAAACTTTCTTTTGGGAGCTAGTGCAAAAACCTTGTTGTAAAGAGTGCCACATTTCTGTTGTGTAACTCGTGGCTAGTTTCTTTTGTAGCAAGATTAAGCAAGCGTCTCTACTTATTAATAATCCCTTGCCGTACCAAAAACCTTTTAAGCACCATCACTGAAAAGGATTAAAACAAAGAAATTTTTGTTGAATTTTCTCTCGCACGCCTGTTATGCTAAAACGCCTTTTCTTACATCTCCCGGGGGTGGGACAAATGCGACCTTTTTTTTGCGCACCTGGACATTTGCACACCTTTTTTTTGCTGGAAAAGGCCTTAGAGCTTCGAAAATATTTCGAAAATTTTTCTATATAAGGGAATCGTATGCGTAGATTCCGAATTTCGACAAATCGAACCTCGCTGACACGTCAAATTTGGGCTAAAAGGCAAAAACTGCGGAAAAGCGTTAAGTTGCGTAGTTTTTGCCTTTTAACCCAAATTTGACGTGTCAGCGAGGTCTGATTTGTCGAAATTCGGAATCTACGCATACGATTCCCTTATATGGAAAAATTTTCGAAGCTCTACGGCCTTTCCTAAGGCCTTTTCCAGCAAAAAAAAAAAGGCGCGCAAATGTCCAGGTGCGCAAAAAAAAAAAGTCGCATTTGTCCCACCCCCCATCTCCCAACAAACTTGTGACATAATATCATCTTTTAGTTTTTGGTTGGAAAAATGTTTTGAGACTCTATTAACATCAAGACTAATCACAAAATTTTTGCAATCCATATTTCTTTTTTCGCGATTCTGGGTTGACCTTGAAAGAAGCGAGTTGACTTTGATTGATTATTTGACGGCGCAAAACGAAGTACTGGTTTTGCTCCTTAGACCTTTTAATTGAAAATGTGTTAGGGAAAATAACTCGAATTAGGGATTTGAAATTAATTTATCCATTCAAACTACTACACTTTACTAATTAAATTGTTCAGATTTAGTTCCTGGAGTGGCTGGGAATGGAGAGAGATATTCCGTTGAATATCTTTCCCAGCTCCTCAAGGACAAAAAACAATTGGCCGCTTTTCCGAACGTTTTCCATCACTTAGAACGTCTAGCAGATGAAGGTTTATCTTGATAGATTTATAGAGTTAACCCCATTTTTTAGAAATCAGCAAAGTTCGCGTGGCACTTTTCCAGTTTGAGTTCAACAAAGGAGATCTACAGCTACCGGAAGCCGAGGGAGAAGCACAGGTTTGTTTTTATTTTGGATTGATTGGGAATTTCTTCGCATTTTTCCAAAAAGAAAATTTGATTTATTCAAACATTCCTTTTAGGTCTTCACAGAACGAATCTTTGTCCCAGCAAAAGAACATCCCGATGTAAGTCTGGAAGTGTCAAAAAGTTAATCGTTACATTTTAGTACAACTTTGTCGGACGTATTCTTGGACCACGAGGGATGACTGCGAAACAACTTGAGCAAGAGACTGGGTGTAAAATCATGGTTCGAGGACGAGGATCGATGCGTGATAAGAAAAAGGTTCAGATTTGTTTTGTAATTTCTTAGTTATTCATTTTAGGAGGAATTGAACCGTGGAAAACCAAATTGGGAGCATTTGAATGAAGAACTACATGTGTTGATTCAGGTAACTTTAAAGCTCTTCTGCTATTAGCATTGTTTTTTCTAGGTTGAAGACACCCAGAATAGAGCCAAAGTGAAACTGCAGCGAGCAATGGATGAGATTAAGAAATTACTTGTTCCAGCGGTAGGCTTTTTTTTTACTTTTAGTAGAGTTACGATTAATATTGCTGCTCTTATTGGGCTTTTTTAAAGTACTAAAATAAGCTTTTAGCCCGAAGGCGAAGATGAATTGAAAAGGAAACAACTGATGGAGTTGGCAATTATCAATGGCACCTACCGTAGCTCTTCTCAGCAAAATGCCGTCGTTGCTGCTCAATTGGCGGCCGCAAAACAGACTGGATTAGCCGCAATTCGTATGCGATTTCCAATAAATCTTTTCTTTAATAGAATGAATTGTGTCGGTGGGTATTCGGTTTATGAGAGCGGCGAGAGTTGAATAGGAACTAATTTATTTTGAGAACAGAAGTTAATGTTTGTTTTTAGAAGCGGCTGCCATTGCACAAAGTCAAAGGGCTCTTCTTCCTCTTCAATTGGCGGGAGCTGGAGGTAGCATTTTTCTGACTGCATAGCGTGTAAAACAGCTTTTATCATTTTTAAGCAAAATTTTCAACTTCTAGGACAAATTCGCTCACCAGGACTTGCGGGTGCTCCGATCATTATGTCACCACAAACACGACAAGTGGCTACGAGTCAAGTAGTTTTATTTTAAGTGGGGCTTTAAATTGTATTCCCTTTAGGCGGCATCATTAGCACTTGCTCAACAACAAGCCGCATTAGTGGCCACTTCACAGGTGAATTTGAATTGATTTTTCTTTTAATATCGAATTTTAGGCGACCGGTCACGATCAAGCGGCGTTGATGGCTCATCAAGCGGCTTTCTTTCAACAACAACAGGCAGCAGTCGATTATCAGCAACTGCTTCTTGGGTAAGCAAGTAATAGAATACTCAAAAACTCATTCGTTTTAGACAACAAGCTGCACTTGGATATGATGCTCAGACGCTACAAGCAATGCAATACGCGCAAGCTCAACAACAGCAATTGGCGGCGGCTGCAGGTTTTTTTTTTAATGAAGTGATTCTGAAGACATTTTATTTTCAGGTGGCATGCTTGGTCAGTACATCCAAACCGCTGAGTACAGCGTTCAGGATCTAGCCGGTGCTGCGGCACAAAGTGCACCCGGTGAGTTGTTTTTAGTGCTAAAAGTTATTTATTTTAAAATTCACACATTTGTTGTTTTTAGGTGCAATGCTGCAACAGCGACGGGTCCTGGGAAACTCACGTGATCATCCATACAAGCAGTAGCTGAAACGGTATCACTTTCTTTAAAATACTTAAAAACGAGATTCTTCAGGGTCCTTCACTCCGCGCTCAACTTATCCCAAAGAATCTTTGATAATTGAAAACTTTGAATCGATTTGCTTATTTGAAGCCATTTTTTTTTCAGTTAGGGTATTTGGCATTTTACTTCTTTTACTTGGTTTTATGCTTTGTTTTTCCGAACTTCTAGCAGCTTTGTCTCTTTATTCAAATTTGGATACATCTTGTCTAATCCCTTCCGCAATGTGCCTTACTCTTTTCAGTGTCCTTTTGTGCGTAGTCAATGCTTTTCATCTTTTTATTTAGATACTCTCTGGTCAATTATATTTCTTTTATAGGCTGAAGTTATAAACTAGTTGTTGTAGACAATGTCTCTTTAAAATCCCCATTTCCCCGCCAATCTTGGTGCAGAGATTAGCTTCGAATTTGCTCACATCCACTTTTGCTACTTCACACTTCTCTATAGAGCGAAAATCTATTTTTCTCGATTTGATCGTCCGTCTTCGTTTTTAGTCTATCTATTTTAGCCATACTGTTACGTTGGTCTTGTAAATAGTTTCTATTTTTAAATAAATTTGTCAGAACCTAAAAACGAGAACAAACATACAAGTTTTGTCATGAAAATACTTCGGATGCTTGGGAAAGACAGTTTATGAAGAGGAAAAGTTTCGCCGTGCATTTTGAAAGCTTTTCTTTCAAGTCAAAAATGATGCAACTTTGAAAGCTATTTGTGTCCGTGTCAAACTTCAAAGTAAAACTCGAGATCGGGTGTGATGGATGAGAAACCGTCTGGACCTTGTACTTGCAAAAAAGACAAAGCCAAAGAGAAACGGTGTAACAAATGGCCCAAAGTCCCGTGAACATTTGTTTCTACTCTTCTCCTTTTTATGTTATATCGGCCATATGTTTTGTTGAGAAAATTTCTCCGCCATTTCATTCGACTTTGCCATCAGTTTACTGATTGTTAGTTTTGTGAAATGTCGACGAAATTTCTGATAACTATGGTCATTTTGGCCAACATTTTTGCGATGGAACAGGGTTTGTTTTTAAATTTTAGTCTAGTTAACGTTTTAAGCCTGATGAAGTGTAAAAAATAGTGCAAAATAGAAAATGCTTTTGTAAAAATGTGTATAAAATTCAATTATCAGTTTTCGACTTTGCACTAACTTTATCAAACAGTAGTAAAGAATAAATTTTGGCGGATTGCCGTTTTATGGCGTGTTTTTTTGAGCGAGCTACGGACTACAAAAAAAAGTGAAGAGGATTTACACACATTTCTCGATGGGGTGACAACGAGACTAGGAAATTTTGTAGTTTTTCTCGTTACAGCTTCTTCTTTTTTATAAAATCCAATAATAATAGTCTAAATTTCTTTTCCTTTTAGTCCTCGGAATGACGTCAGTCACATTGCATGGAGTCACCGACACTTTACCATCGGAAAAGGAAAAGGTTGGATTTAAATCTGTTGTTTTGTTAATACAATTAAAAAGTTGTAAAGTTGATTTATTATTCAAATCTGAATTTTTAAAATGTTTTAGTACAAAGTTGCGCTCGAAACGGCTGCGGCGGCTTTCCAGGATGCCGAGAAACTTTTTGCCGATCCAACTTTTGAGGTAAATTTTCATTGTTAAAGCTTTTTGTAAAGCTTGCTTCTTTTGGTTGTTGCCTAAAATTCTCCATTCAAATTTTAGTCACGGGATGGATGGAAAGTTGATCAATCGAACGACGATGATGACGTTGTTTATGCCAAACACACGAAAGAAGGCACCAAGATGGTCACTGTGAGAGTAAGTTTTGAATAAAACACTCAAATTTAATGATGAGTTAATTTTTATAACAATTTTGGATTGAATAATCTTTTTAAAAATCTATTTTAAGACGGTCTTAGCCGGGAAGGTCGACGATGTGATGCAAGAAACGTGGACCGGAGCCTCAGGATTACCCGAATGGAATCCAAACATTGATTTTGCCTCAACGATTGCCAATCTCACCGATCATGTTGATATCTTGACAGTAAGCTTTTTTCTGAAGCCTTACACTTAACTTCTCTTATATAAAAGATTACCATCAATTTAGTATGGCAACAACGACATTCTTGTTGTTTCGGGACGTGAATTTGTTTCTGCAAGGTGATTTTATCTTCTATACATTAACAACTCTTTTTTAGACTTTACCGAAAAGTGGGTGATTATTACATCATGGCTTCGAGAAGTGTCAACCTTACGGATGTGCCCGAGAAAAGGGGAAAAGTCAGGTAACATTTCGAAATGTCGATAAATATAAAAACTAAAGTTATTGCGTAACTGGAACAATCTATGTAGAGCCTTTTATTACCTTGTCATGCTTAAATTTCAGAGCCTGGCTCTACTTGGCCGCCGCGAGATTCCGTGCCGATCCCACCGATCCAGAGAACAAAACCCTCACCGATGTCGTCATGCATGTTGATCTGAAAGGATTTTTGCCGAAACTTCTTGTCAATCAGGTTGCGTCATTAGTTTTTTTGAGTTTTAAGCTAGCGGGAAATTACTGGTAGCATGAGACATCATTTCTAGTTGTCTAGTGAAGCAATAAATTGAGACTTATTGATTTTACGCTAGATTTGACCGGATATTTTATTGAATAGCTTAAACTAGTTTTTTTTCAGGTTGTCGGCAAAATCATGTTGATGGATGCTGAGCAAAATAAGAAACACTTCGGTGAGATCAAGCAGAAGAAAGATGAGGCGAAGAAAGCTGCCAATGATGCGGCTTAACGATTTTCCCGTTTGCTCCATAGACTTTACAAATTTTGTTTTTCGTAGAACCACCATCTTCTGTAGTTTATCATCGATTTCTGTGCCTTTGATTGTCACTACAGTTTTGTTTTTACCCAATTTGGATCTTTTTTAATACTAGTCGATATAATCTATCCATGAGCTGTGCATTTTTTTCTCTGATTGATCATTGTTTGAATCGGGTTGCTAAAAATTGCCAATGTGTTTTCGAGAGATTAGGCAATAAATAGTAACTATATATGGAAAAATCTACAAATTTCCGTTTTCTTGTCGATGTTTTTTCTTTTGGGGAGATAGCAACTACAAAAAAAAAGTGCTCCTAATGAAAGCCATGCTCTGAACTCTTTTGGCTATAGTTTTATTTAGTTGATCGAGCTTTTGATATCTTTATTCAAATCATAGCAAAACAATACATCTCGGAGCTTTTTTCTCCAACTCAACAACTTCGATCTTCTCGACCTTCTCGAGAGGATCGAGCACGGAGATTTTCACTCCTCCACCATTTTGTGCTTTCATTTCATCTGGCATTCATTTCATATTTGCACTTTATTCAAAAGATGAATAGTTTTAAAAAGTTAGTTTTAAAGTTAAAAGTTAAAAAGTAACCAGCAGCCTAACGGCGGGCTGCTTCAGAAATTGTAAAAATGATTGCCAGAAACGAATTCCCTGTTTTGGAAAACTCATAATGCGAAAATCAAAGAATTCAACGAGGGAAACGATAAGAAGCAAAAAATCACGCAATGATGTCAACTTGCTAAATCGTTTCTCTCTTCGATATGAATAGGACCAGGCGAATCTCTACAGTCACGGAAGCAGGCAAAACAATCAACCAAAGCGAGTGGTCAAGATGGAGGAGCTCTTCAATCTACTGATGGATACTGAGAAACGACTAGGACAAGCTGGACGCCATAATATGCCGCGCCATATTATGTGAAAGAAACTTCGCGACTATCATGGAATATCAAAGGATTTCGAATTGTGCATTTACGGGCGACCACGACACTCGCGATCACAAGGATTCGCAAATCAGGACGTTTATGGTTAGTTAGTTGTGTGGAATGAACATTATCTTTAGAGAATCGTTTGCACTCAACTACGTGAAGAAAAATCTACAAGGTTGACCCAAATTCTTCCAGTTGTGCAGTCGATGAAGAATCGGCGATTACAAAATAGGTATGGTTTGTTTTTATGGTTTTAAATGTAACTGACCGTCAAAACTTCTAATAGAAGAGCTCTCTCCATTAGAAGGGCCCTTTGGAGGATGGTTGAAAAATAGAAGAGCACTCTAATAGAAGAGCGCTCTAATGGAAGAGCTCTCTAATAGATAAGCCCCTTCATTCTATTTTCTGCCCCATGTTCCGTACTCCCGTGATAGACAAAAGTTTGCTTGTTTAAAGAAATTCAATCATTTCTTATTAGTTATAGTTTTCATTAATTCAATCATTCGATCATTTCTTGTTAGTTTTTTTTGTTATTGTTTGGTATTAGGTTTTTTGTTGGGGGTAGTCAAAACAGCGCCATAATAGAAAATAATAGATTGCCAAAGTTTATAGTAAAAAGTGGATTTTTTGTTGGACAAAATTTTTGAAAAGTTGAAAAATAGAATAGCATGCTCTTCTATTAGAGTTTTTACGGTATTTTTTTAGATTTGGACTGGTTGAAGTGAGAAGAACATTCCAACTGATTCTGTTCAACAGTCAATTGATTCTGTCTATCGTCCGAAGATTGGTCATTCATCGCTTTTTGGGGTCGTTCTGGAATCAAATGAGAGGTTTTATCAGATTGCCACTAAAAACGGAATTCTTCAACAGAAGTAAGTTTTTAAATTATTGTTTTTAAATTTTATATTATAGTTATAATTATATTTTATTTTAGGTTAACAAGGAATCGATTCGAACCGGCTAATAATAGTTTCATCATCGCTAAAGTGCCACATGTTGAGACATCGCTTCGAGCCGCTGTTAGAGCCGAGCCTTTGACTCGATCGCAAGGTTAGTCTATTTTAAGCTGATTCAGCGATATTAAGTTAAATTCATTTCAAAATCAACATTATTTTATATTTTAGGCCATAAGCACTGCAACTGCACAAATGAATGTGTGAATGAACGGTGTGCCTGTCGAAAAGCCTCTGCCTCAATGAAAAACCTCTGCTTCAATACAGACCACGATGTAGACCACGACGGTTTAATTAAGTTATGGAAATCTGACTTTTAATTTGATTTATCCTACTTCACACGTTCTTCCCTTATTTACAGGTCATTTTTCTGAATGCTCTCATTTTTCAACATTCTCATTTTTCAACATTCAATATTCAACATTCAACATTGTGTTTATTACATTGTACTTTGTAAAAATGTTGTATCGTACTTTGTATTTTTCCTGCCACTTTGTCCTGTATCACTGTAATCACTGTAATCACAGTGAAAAGCACATAATGCACTTTGCTTGCCATTTTGACAACTCATCTTTGTTGATGGCCATATGTTTTGTTGAGAAAATTTCTTTCTCCGCCATTTCATTCTCATTCGACGTTGCCATCAGTTTACTGGTTTTTAGTTCTGTGAAATGTCGACGAAATTTCTGATAACTATGGTCATTTTGGCCAATATTTTTGCGATGGAACAGGGTTTGTTTTTTAAATTTTAGTCTAGTTAACGTTTTAAGCCTGATCAAGTGTAAAAAATAGTGCAAAATAGAAAATGCTTTTGTAAAAATGTGTATAAAATTCAATGATCAGTTTTCGACTTTGCACTAACTTTATCAAACAATAGTAAAGAATAGATTTTCGCGAATTGCGGTTTTGTAGCAGGCGTAGTTCTAAATTTCTTGCTTTTAGTTCTCGGAGTGACGTCAGTCACATTGCACGGAGTCACCGACACTTTACCACCGGAAAAGGAAAAAGTTTGGTTTAATTTTATTGTAGTTGTTTTGTTAATACGCTTAAAAAGTTGTAGAGTTGGTTTATTATTCAAATCTGAATTTAAAAACGTTTTAGTACAAAATTGCGCTCGAAACGGCTGCGGCGGCTTTCCAGGATGCCGAGAAACTTTTTGCCGATCCAACTTTTGAGGTAAATTTTCATTTCTAAAGCTTTTTGTAAAGCTTGCTTCTTTTGGTTGTTGCCTGCAATTCTCCATTCAAATTTTAGTCACGGGATGGATGGGAAGATGATCAATCGAACGACGATGGTGACGTCGTTTATGCCAAAGATACCGAAGAAGGCACCAAGATGGTCACTGTGAGAGTAAGTTTTGAATAAAACACTCAAATTTAATGATGAGTTAATTTTTATAACATTTTTGGATTGAATAATCTTTTTTAAAATCTATTTTTGGACGGTCTTAGCCGGGAAGGTCGACGATGTGATGCAAGAAGCGTGGACCGGAGCTTCAGGATTACCCGAATGGAATCCAAACATTGATTTTGCCTCAACGATTGCCACTCTCACCGATCATGTTGATATCCTGACAGTAAGTTTTTTCTCGGGCCTTACACCTAACTTTTCTTATATAAAAGATTACCATCAATTTAGTATGGCAACAACGACATTCTTGTTGTTTCGGGACGTGAATTTGTTTCTGCAAGGTGAATTTATCCTCGATTCATTAACAACTCTTTTTTAGACTTTACCGAAAAGTGGGTGATTATTACATCATGGCTTCGAGAAGTGTCAACCTTACGGATGTGCCCGAGAAAAAGGGAAAAGTCAGGTAACATTTCGTTATGTTTAAAAAAAGTAAAAACCAAGGTTTTACTGAGTTATTGCGTAACTGGAACAATCTGTGTATGTCCATATCATTGCCTTGTCATGTTTAAATCTCAGAGCCTGGCTCTACTTGGCCGCCGCGAGATTCCGTGCCGATCCCACCGATCCGGAGAACAAAACCCTCACCGATGTCGTCATGCATGTTGATCTGAAAGGATTTTTGCCTGAATTTCTTGTCAATCAGGTTCCGTCATTAGTTTTTTTTGAGTTTTAAGCTAGCGGGAAATTAGTGATACATCATTTCTAGTTGTCTAATGAAGCAATAAAATTAAGACTTATTTATTTCCCGCTAAATTTTGTCGAGAATAACTTGACCATTTTATTGAATAGCTTAAACTAGTTTTTTTCAGGTAATCGGCAAAATTATGTTGATGGATGTTGAGCAAAATAAGAAACACTTCGATGAGATCAAGCAGAAGAAAGATGAGGCGAAGAAAGCTGCCAATGATGCGGCTTAACGATTTTCCCGTTTGTTCCATAGACTTTACAAATTTTGTTTCCCGTAGAAGTTTATCTGTAGTTTATCATCGATTTCTGTGCTTTTGATTGTTACTTCAATTTTGTTTTTACCCAATTTGCACCTTTTTTAATACGAGTCGATATAATCTATCCATGAGCTGTGCATTTTTTTTCTCTGATTGATCATTGTTTGAATTGGGTAAAATTGTATTTTTTTTATTGTGAAATTGGCTAAAAATTGTATTTTCGAGAAGGCAATAAATAGTAACTATATATGGAAAAATCTACAAATTTCCATTTTCTTGTCAAATGTTCAATCGGTCATAACCCGGTAATCATAGCTAGCGCTGCGTTTCAGGAGGGGATTCTGGAATATAAGTACTGTAAGTAAATTTGTCCATAGATAAAGTTTAGCGTAAAAGAAAGTAACGACGGATATTTTAAAAAAAAAGATACCTTCTTTTAGAAAATAATAAAATAAACAAAAACTTTTATCATTTTAACTAAAAATTAACTAACAAAAGTTTTCTCTTTTGGGGGCATAGCAACTACAAAAAAAAGCTCACCTAATGAAAGCCATGCTCTGAACTTTTTTGGCTGTAGTTTTATTTAGTTGATCGAGCTTCTGATATCTTTATTCAAATCATAGCAAAACAATAGTTATCGGAAGAACTTTTCCCCAATTCAACAACTTCGATCTTCTCGACCTTCTCGATCTTCTCTTCTCTTTACTCTCGACCTCCGAGCAACGGCCCTTCTGCATCGGGTCGATTAGTGAAAAAAAGGGTTAATTTTGGACATTTTAGTGTATAATATTATGGATTTAGGTTGGGAGCAGATTCTGACACAGCTGGTTGAGATGTGTGCTATTGAAAAAAAATCGGTTAATTTTGGCTATTTTTATATTCCTTGTTGGGTAAAATCGGTAAAAAGGTGGGGGTTTTTAGGGGATGCGGTGGGTGCACCAGAAGTAGTGGTTGTATACTAGTAAAAGTGATGGTTGTATACTAGTAAAAATCTAATAAAATCTACCAGATGAACTTTGAAAAGGAGGGTCGAGCACGGAGATTTTCACTCCTCCACCATTTTGTGCTTTCATTTCATCTGGCATTCATTTCATATTTGTACTTTATTCAAAAGATGAATATTTTCAAAAAGTTAGTTTTAAAGTTAAAGCTAAAAGTAAAAAGTAAAAAGTAAAAAGTAAAAAAAATAGCGTAACAAACCCTTTACTACACCGAAAAATTGATCCATTCTTTTACTAAACATTCCATATTACACGATCGCGCTCATTCCGTGTATTCTGTAGCGTTGTGTACGTCCTTTGGCGTCTTTTTTTTTTAACCGCACATTCAATTTTTTTTTATTTTCACTAATGTTGGCTATACAAATTTAAGTAAAAAAAGAAGTTTGAATCGTTTTCCCTGATCCTTATAATATAAAAGTCGGAAAAATTGACTTTGAAAGACTTAAAGTTAGCTTAAACTTATCTATATACTTGCTAATTGATATTGCTAATGGTTTAAGAGGAGAAATAGCAAAAGTCGTTATTTTTTAAAATTATTTTTGTTAACCTGTGTATGTTTTGTTTTGTTTTTGTTAACTTTTTACTATTTTTTTACCTAATCTCGTTTTATTCTTTAGTTCTTGAGTTTTTTTGCTTGCTTATATTCTTTTTGCTTGCTTATAACATATATTTTTTTTTTAGAAAAAGCATCTTCTCCAATGACAGATCGTACCGCAGCACTTCCTGTTGCGGAAAGCTCGGTAAATTTTATTTTTTTATAGAGTTTTTGGTATTAATAAAATTCGGGAAGGTTATCACTTTTATCAATTTGGCTATTTTTATATTCCTTGTTGGGTAAAATCGGTAAAAAGGTGGGGGTTTTTAGGGGATGCGGTGGGTGCACCAGAAGTAGTGGTTGTATACTAGTAAAATTACCCTAAGCCTAAGCCCTAAAAAGAGTAAAATAGCAGTTTGACTCGATTTGGTCAGATTGTATTTTTTTGTCTATTTTACCAATGCTATTTTACTCTTTCTGGGGCTTAGGCTTAGGCTTAGGCTTAGGCTTAGGCTTAGGGTAATCAAGCATGATGAATCTATTGATAAAAGTGATAACTTGTTCAAAAAGATTCTAAAAATGTCGCCAATCGATTAAGCGTATTTGATTACTCAAGAAAATGGAGAATCGGAATGGAGAAAATGGAGAAAAAGTGGAGAAGAAGACTAAAAAAACGCCTAGAATCAAGGTCTGACCAAGTCGGGACCAAGGCCAATCAAAGTGACCCACTGAATTTTATTAGTACCTTTTTTTTGCCTATACAGAAACGTCTGCCTGTTTTAATATGTTATTTTAGGCTCCAACTCAGTCTCCGAATTACACGCTAGTTCGTGAACTAACTGGTCACGCAAAGACGGTCTCATGCCTGAAATTCAGCTATGACGGACGATTTCTTGCTTCTGGTTCTCCTGATAAGACGGTTTGCTTTTCTTGTACTTGAAACCAAACACAATCAGTCAACCCATAGGCCTTTAGTAATTCTTTGGTCTCACTCGATCACAAGCAATTGTTTAGATGTTTATTTCTAGGTTCGTGTATGGTCAACTGGTGACGGACGAATGTGCAGTTTAATCAGTGGACACAGACTTGGCATTAACGATCTTAGTTGGAGCACGGATGGAAAAATGATTGTGACTGCTAGCGATGATACACAATTGAAGGTATGGTTTTCGATCAAGTTTTTATGAATTCTCCTCAACTTTGCGGAAAAAAATGATGAATACGAAGAAACTAGCTAGTCTGATTGTGAGGAAAAATGATAAATAGTTGTTTGCAATGAAGCAATGAACCTATTTAGCAATGAACTACCCTAAAGTCGCGAGTATAAGTTCTGTTTGGTTTTCGCATGCAAATTGACGGCTGTCTCCGGTTCGGTGTGTCGATGGTTCAAACCCCGCTGCAGCATAATTTTTTTGCTTTTTAAGAACAATAATAGAAGTAAATTTATTGAGGGTTATAGCAATTTTATGCTGTTATTTGTTGCTCCGGGCGTGGCTCGGCACGTCCGCCCTGCTCCTCTCCGGTGCTCAGTCTTATGGATCCCTCGCTGGTCTCTTCATCCGGTCAAAGTCCACGTCGACGGTCGAAAGAGATGCTTTCCAGCGTCTGCTTCAACACTATCGTCTGGATGTATCCATTCACATAACAAATAGCAATGGTGATAGGCTGTCACCCTGTAGTATCCCGCGCTCCAAGAACAATAATAAAAGTTTATATAACAATAAAAATGTATAAAAACTCAACAAAAAGAAATTCAAAGCAATTAAAGCGAATGTAAATTGAGGCAGAACTTATACTCGAGACTTTAGGGTACAAGTATATTTTCAGGTATGGGATGTTGAATCGAAACGCACACTCAAAACTCTGAAAGGCCACGATAACTATGTTTTCTGCTGTGCGTTTAACCCACAAAGCAGCATGATTGCATCAGGTATTTGATCACTTAGTTTATTTAATCCTTTTTTTTATAGGAGCTTTTGATGAAACAGTTCGAGTTTGGGATATCAAAACCGGTGCTTGTGTCAGGACACTGCCAGCTCATTCAGATCCAGTTTCTGCTGTCTCATTTAATCGGTTTGAAATGCATGACTTTCCCATCAACTATTTTTTCTTGTTCTAGTTTTGGTACATTAATTGCATCTTCAAGTTACGATGGACTTGTTCGAATTTGGGACACATCAAATGGACAATGTGCTAAAACTTTAGTTGGTATGTTGGTGCTCAATGATGTAGTATATTTTTTTGAATTTAGACGAAGAAAATCCGCCCGTTTCTTTTGTTCGATTTTCGCCTAATGGTAAATATATCTTATCGGCGTCACTCGATAGGTAGATTATTAAAGTATTTCAGAAATTTTTAAAATACATTTAGCACGCTGAAACTTTGGGATTTAAACAAAGGCAAATGCCTGAAAACTTACACAGGGCACAAACATGGAAGCTTCTGCATCAATGCCAATTTTTCCGTAACCGGAGGGAAGGTTTGTTTTTATAAGGCGGACGGTTTTTAGGTGCTATATTAGTTGGGGGAGAGGCATTTTGTAAACACCAGTTTTTTTGAACTTTCCACTATTTTTAAAAGCTTTTTCTGCGCTAATTAATTGCACTGAATCCTTTGAAAGCATTTATGAACCATTCGATACGACTTTTATGCCAGTTTGAGCAACAATTCCGGGCCCTGAAGAGTGGCTCTATTTCCATTGTGTTTAGAGGTGTGGGACCGAATTAAGAGGCTTAAAACCTCAGTGACTGCTTGAAATAGCTAGAAAACAGTCACTAAAGCTTAAATAAATACCAAATAATTTAAGAATATAAAAAACCGAATATAAAAAAAACCATTAAAAACCCTAGAAGCAAAAATTAGTGCGCTCGGGCTCAATAGAGATGAATGTACAGTCAAACCTCGATTTAACGATTCTCAAGGGACCTGAATTCTCCATCGTTAAATCGAGCGTCTTTATAAGGTAAATGGCGTTCAAAGGACCAAAAATTGACATCGTTAAATTGAGATTTGACTGTACACCGTCCCCCCCCCTCCCCCAACTACTATAGCACCCGGTTTTATTTACATTTATAAACCTTTTCATTGATTACAAATTAAATTTAGTGGATCGTCAGTGGATCTGAAGATGGTAACATTGTTATTTGGAATCTTCAAACCACCGAAATTGTACAAAAGTTCAAGGCTCATGATAGTAAGTCATTTTTTTACTACTCTTTTACAAATTCTTTATCTAGCCGTTGTATTATCAACCGATTGCCATCCACAAGCTAATATGATCGCCTCTGCCTCAATAGATCACGACGGTTCAATTAAGTTATGGAAATCTGACTTTTAATTTGATTTATCCTACTTGTGCGTTCTTCCCTTATTTACAGGTCATTTTTCTGAATGGTCTCATTATTCAACATTTTGTTTATTACATTGTACTTTGTAGATATGTTTAACGAGAAGTCGAGGTATTGGCGCAGGTGATCAACGCTAAAATTTTCAAAAAGCTTGAAACTTTTTTATCGGATAGGCAAGAACTTGGGTTATCTTGTAGAAAAAAAAGACCCAAACCCCAACAAGAACTAATGAGATGAGTCTCGATAAATCACGTTATTAGAGTTTTAAACTATTTTTGTCATAGGATAGTCTGAGTTCTTGTTTATCGGATAAGAAATTTTCAAGTATTTTGAAAATCTCTGCGCTGATTTTTGAGTATTTCGTGCGGACGGACATCTCAAATTTCTCGTTGAACATATATCTTGTAGACCTAATATTTTGCAGCCTCATGATTGTTTTTTCTGGATTGGAGCTCAAAACCAATAAAAATAAATGTTTTAAGCATCTTTGTCACAATAGTTTAGAGTTTGTAAGCAAATCAAACAGAAATATTTATTCAATATACAGAAATTAAACAGCGTCTTAGAGTGATTTAATAAAGTTTAGTGGCAGAAGATGGAAAACTTTATTGATCAGCCATTGGGACTTGTCTCGGAAATGACACGTCGTGAATTTGTACATATTTTAGAAACAATTTCTGGAACAAAGGTTTTACTTTAGTTAACACTTCTTTCAACTTTCAATTTAGGATTTAGTTGTGGATAGAACTCTTTTAAGAGCTTTTGATCGAATAGCAAATATGAGTTTATTAAAGCAGCATGGCGTTGCAGGTGACAAGGATAGCGGTGTAAGTATTTAACTTCTTATTTTTTTAGGCGTCATTCCACTGCGAACCGATGGACCAATTCTAACAACCTCCGAAGCGCAAAAGCGAATTTATCTAGTTCGCTCTTCTCTTCAAATGGCAAAAACTCTTTGTAGGTATGCGATTTGAAAGGGATTTATTCGTTATTGATTTAGTTTAATCCGAAGTGAACCAAATCTTTCTTGTGCAGTGATATGGGTTGATCGAATGTTGGCTTCTTGCTCAAAAGAATTTGAGCTACACGGTGCTTTTTTTTTTCTATTGTTGTTGTTAAACAATTGTTAAAAATTACTTTAGGAGTATCGGGATTGGTCGAAGAATACGATTGGTCATTATCACTTGTAACAATAGAAAGCGATTTGTTTTCTTTGGAAATTCCTTTACATTTGTCTACGTCAAGCACCGGTCGGTTAAGATTCAATCAAACGATTTCTAATTGAATACGACCCTTTTTTTAGGTGATATATTTACGGCGGCAAATTCGCTATGGCAATTTCAATCATTATATGGGCAAATTCCTACGGTTTATGGTTAGTTTTCACCTAGTTTTTTTCAGGTTATATTACACACCAAATACAGGGTGCTTGAAAAGTTTTGACGGCATGAAAAGAGAAAGAGACCGCTTATATTTGAAGATTGAAAAAAGCTAGAACAAAATGGATTTCAGATTCGAAAAATTCGAACTCTTTTTACCTTAGATAAGCTTTTTGTTTAGCACATTTCGGCTTCTTGCATCAATTTTTTTTTGGCTTTATTTAGTGGCAACTCGAACCACTTTGTGAAAATTTTTCCCATTTTAAACCTTAACTAAAACTTTTAAAACCACTCGAAAATGGTTATCTCAAAAGCAATTTGGTTGAATGAGAGTTCATTTTAAAGGAAAATGATTCGCCTTTCTAGGCGAATCATATCAATATCAATAGGCACAAAAACATGCATTTAAGCTTACCTCAAAAAAAAAATTTGAAGCAGTGAGATTCGGAAACCCATTTTTTATTAACGACCAAGAATTTTATTAAAAATCCCTATTTGCTTTTGATTGCGTAGCATGTCAAAAGTTTTTTTTTTTTGGCGTTTGTTAGACACTGAAAACTCTATGTTTATGTGGAATAATATTTTTTCGAATTTGAAATCCGTTTTGTTCTAGCTTTTTTTACAATCTTGATATAAGCGGCCTTCTTTTCATGCCGTCAAAACTTTTCACCCACGGTTCCTATTTTGATCTAATACAGTTCCAATACGGTTCCAATACAGTTCCAATACGGTTCCAATACAGTTCCAATACGGTTCCTATTTTGACCTAATACAGTTCCAATACGGTTCCTATTTTGATCTAATACAGTTCCAATACGGTTCCAATACCCTGTACATAATAATATAATTTTTTATAATAGAAATTATTCGTTTTATCCATTTCTATTTAAGAATTGAAGTTTTTTGATCATAGTATCATATCCATAATAAATGATTTTCGTTTATTGAAGCTTTTAATTGATTATTTATTTATTTAGGTATTGGAGAACGTTCTGATGAGGTATGGCGTGTCCTTCGACGCTTATATGTAGAGAAGGGAGAACCAAGAGCTAGTCCAGATCAACCAGTCTCACATCTTTTTGTTTTGGACAGGTTGAGTGGTTTTAAATTTGTTGCTATATAATTTTTTTTTAGAGCTTTGGATAACGCTTCTGTGTTTTTAACGGCTTTAACATACGAATCAATGTTGCACGACACTTTTGGTATCTCGTGTGGCAAAGTATGTTTTTACGACAAAAATGACAACCATAGCGCGAATATTATCGAGCAAGAATATTATTTTCAGGTGACGTTTTCTGGCGACGTTGAAGAAAGGCTAAAAAGAACCACCGGCGAAAATGGTATAAATGAAGTGGAAAATAAAACCTCGAAAAGCAAGGTTAGTTTTTTAAAGCTAGTTAATAAAGCTAGTTAATGATACGCTAGTTAATAAATTTAGCCTGTTCTCTTGGACAATAATGATGCTGTCTTTTCTGCTGTTAGAAATTCTCATATGACGGCTGTTTTTCCATTTCTCTCCTCAAAAGCAAAAGAAATTCAAAATAACTACGGGAAAGGAACAAGTTTTGATCAGGTAAAACGTGATGGTTAATGTTTATTTTCTAGATCTTTTTTTATAACAGTAAAATAACACAAATAGTATAATTATTTTTATTATTATAAAACGATTTTTATTATTATAAAAATCGATGACATTGACGGCAAATAGTAACAAATTTTTCGAGTTAAGGTTTCCGATATGAAATTATTTGTGTCAAATGAGTTGAAATCACTGAAACTTCAACATCGTCAATTGGAAACCCATATTTGTGCATGTGAGGTAAGCCGCTTGATTGATTTAAAAAGAATTAACACCAACTTTAGGTTGTATTGGAAAGGACGGCAATGGTAAATGCATCAGAGCGTCTGGAAATTGAACAGGCAATAATAGCAAACACGGCCGATCTCAATACTGTTTTTGAATACGCTGAAAACTGCATGCTTATGGTAATTGGTGATACCATTTTTTTTAAAAATTAAATTTTAGGATCATTCACCATGGCAAATACTACTTTTAATCTGCTTAGCATCGATGATGAATAATGGCTTGCCTGGAAAGTTGCTCAACTCGTTCAAGGTACTTTTTGCCTTTGGTGGAAATTAAAAGGAAATTGACCATCTTTTAGGAATCCTTCATCTCTTCTTATGGCATTGCTTTTTTGTCTGTGTTAAATACGCTGAGCAAGAAAAAGCTTCTGATGACACGCTCCATTCTTTCGTCCAGCACTAGTTTGCCAAATGTCATTGGTGTTCAACCCCATGAAGGTATTTATATAAATTCAAATCACGTTACCCTGCTAAGAATTTATCTACGATACAGGTAATTCAACTCTTCCATTCATTGTTAAACGTCTGTCATTGGTGCCAGCCGCAACAGAGTTTGTGAATGATTTTAAAAATCCGCAAAAGTATGTCTTACTACATAGTGTTTTCTCTATTTTTGTTTAATTAGAATGAACTATGTATTTTCTGGAGCCTACACGCCGGTAATGTGCCAGGTAGTTTTTTTCTTTTCTTTGCTATAAGTATAGTTGATTTTAGGTTGTCGCTGATGTCATGATGCAAGGCTTCAATATTACGGATCTGAAAAAAACTTTTAATGGAAAGGTATGGGTTATTTTGCCTTTTAATGGAAAAATAATTTTGCCTTTTAATGGAAAGGTTATTTTTCCTTTTAATGGAAAGGTAATTTTGCCACTACTATCAAATTATTTAGGTTTTTGTTGAAGAGAACAGCTTTGTTCCAGCAGAACGTCGACCAGATAGCCGAATGCGAAAAGCTATAATGGTAAGGGTTTAAACAAAGAAGAAGCGATTTAAACATACCAAAAGTTTAGGTCTTCTTTTGTGGTGGTGTCACTTATGCCGAGATCGCAGCACTTCGCCTCTTAGCACAATTGAATTCATTTCGGATAATTATCGTTGCAACTAATATTATTCATAGGGAAACTTACATCAAATGTCTTGGTGATGTATCTCAATTGTAGTTGGCATAAAAATATAAGATCTTCTTTAATTTCTGATAGTATATTTATATATTCTTTCCATTTATTCTTAGCATTTTCCAGGCTTCTCTTAATCTTTTTTTTTTCCAGGGTTTTTGTGATTTGATTTTGCGTTAAAAGTCATAAATAATTTTACGGAATCCATCCTATCACTTGGAGATTGAATACGCTTATTATGCTTGAAACTCTTTGAGTTTGGAGTAGGTATTTGGAAGTTTTTCTTTTAATGTACGCCGTATTACAAAGCCGACGATCTTGCAAGGAAATTAACTATTTTTTTTTGCCGTTTTTTTTTCTATAGGCTTTACGAAATTTGTTTTCCCTATAACCATCATTTTCTGTAGTTTATCACCGATGCGAAAAATTGTGTTTTTTAGAGAGATTAGCCAATAAATCGTAACCATTTATGGAAAAATCTAGAAATTTCAGTTTTCTTCTCAATGTTTTCAATCGGTCATAACCGGGCAATCATAGCTGGCGCTGCGTTTCTGGAGGGGAATCTGGAATGGGATTTGGAATGGGATTTGGAATTGAATTTGGAATGCAAGTACTGTAAGTAAATTTTGTCCATAGATTAAGTTTAGCGCAAAAGAAAGTAATCTCTCTAAATTTGGTTCCTTATCTCTCTAATCAGATAAAATCAGATCAGATAAAATGATCAGATAATCAGATCCTAATCAAATAAAATGGTGACTAGTAATCCCTGTGTTCTTATTTTCATCTTTAATAATCTGGCTCTAGTCCGTTAAAGAAAGATTTTCAATGAATCGTAATATCTCTCTAAATTTGGTTCCATATCTCTCTAAATTTGGTTCCTTATCTCTCTAAATTTGGTTCCATATCTCTCTGAATTTGGGATTTGAAATGCAAGTACTGTAAGTAAATTTTGTCTATTAAGTTTAGCGCAAAAGAAAGTAATGACGGTAGAAAAGGCACTCGGCAATAGCAAAACGAATGAATATAGCTATTTTCTATTGTATTCGTTTTCTCGTTACTATTTGGCACTTAATTTTATCAATTTTTCAGAAAAAAAAGGATACCTTCTCTCCACGCTCTTTCTTCGCCCAGGCCTCAATGTGATCAACCATCAGAAATTCTTGACTGACTTCCTGAAAAGTATCATTGTTAGAAGTTTTTTTGAGAATATTTCCCGGTTTATCAGTTCTAGATTTTAGATTTCGTATGATTTTGTGCATTTTAGATATTTCGATGAATTCTATAATGTGCTCCTAAGAGTTTTTGTCGGGATTACGGTAACGGGCAGTATAAAATGGGAAAATTTTGCAAGAAATTTCATTTGCATTGGTTTGTTAGGCTACCGTTTATCAAGTTTTTTGTAATCAGAGTTAGTTAGAATAGTGTTTTCTTGCCGTTATTGTATTTCTTCTTCTATTTTGCGAAGTTTTTACCTCTACTGATTGTTTTTAATTTAGATATGAGCGAACCAAGTGGAAATGGCTTGAATACCGCTCTGCAAGCTCTCGAGGAGCACTTGACAACGAAGATCACGGCCAAACTGAAGCAACAACTGAAACAACAACTGAAGCAACAACTGAAGCAACAACTGAAGCAACAACTGAAGCAACAACTGAAGCAACAACTGAAGCAACAACTGAAGCAACAACTGAAGCAACAAATGAAGCATCAAATGAAGCAACAACTGAAGCAACAACTGAAACAACAAGTGAAACAACAAGTGAAACAACCAGTGAAACAACCAGTGAAACAACAAGTGAAACAACAAGTGAAACAACAAGTGAAGCAACAAGTGAAGCAATAAGTGAAGCAACAACTGAAGCATCAAATGAAGCAACAACTGAAACAACAAGTGAAACAACAAGTGAAACAACAAGTGAAACAACAAGTGAAGCAACAAGTAAAGCTCCCGACATCAACCAGGAGGGTTCTCGCCGTTCAATTCGAGTTCCACAACAAGGTCATCGCCATGATCGAAGAGGCAATCGGGATGAAGGTATGTAGAAGTTTTTGAGGATACTTACGACTGGTTCACCAGTTCTATATTTTATAGTTCATAGCCCTTTGTTTATCGGTTAACTTAGCCGCAAATAAACTAGATAACAATAAACCGTAAGCACAGAAACCACGAAATCTTCTAGCTTTTGTAGCCGGTTATAGAAATTCTCTTTTCTATTATGTACTTATTTTTATCGATAAAAACGTCTAGTTGCTGCATTTTGTTTATCTTATAGTTATTTTCTTTTGCCAAATTGTCACCAATGGGGTCAACGGGTGTTTCCCCCCTTTCCCGTAGCCTTTTTTTTGCCACTCCTAAACAAGAGAGAAAAATCGATGTTTACCGGCGCGTTTCTTCGCCGCTTTCTCTCCACACAACAAGGGTCAGTTTGGGCTAAGGAATTTTTAAATTTGCATTTAAAACTTTCTGAGATTCAAACTTCTTTCTATATTTTTAGAATGCGAGCCGCTGTTTTAAGTGAATTCGGTGGACCCGAGAAAATATTGATCGAACACGCACACACCCGACCAACAGCTGTTCTCGATTCACAGGTTTGTCCAAAAAATCAAAAATATCTGGTCATTTTTTGTTTCCAAATTGATAAAAGGCATTTGAATTTGCAAGTTTTTGTGGTAGCCTGTTTAAATGGAAATGTTCCGTTTCCAGTTTCTGAGCAAAGTTGGGCTTTAGCTTTGTTAGCCTTGAAAATTATAGAAACGACTTGATAAAATGAATTTAAAATGGAAATTTTGATCGAATGAAATTGTTTTCAGATTCTAATCAAAGTCGCATGCTCTGGAGTGAATCCAGTCGATACATACGTTCGCGCGGGCGTCTACCCGATTCTTCCAAATCTACCGTATATTGTTGGACGTGATGGATCCGGAATTGTTGAAGAGGTGCAAGAGAATAATAATTAAAAGGACTAGAAAGATAAGCGAAAGCCTTGAAATAGTTAGAAACTGGATTTATTGGCAAGAATGAAACCGGACTTTATGGTTCTTTAATTTTAAAAAGTATACGAGATTCAGTATAGGTTGTTAGGGATTTTTGAAATGCTTGAATAAAGCTTTAAAATATTGACCAGACGTAATTTTGATTGCTTTTAGCTTTAGAGTCGCCAAGCGGTTTGAAGAGATAGTGAGAATGGAATTACTTGAAAGAATTGCTGAAAGAATTACCCAAACTATTAATCTTATACTCAGCAATTTCTAGATTTGAAAATAATTGGAATTGATTGGTTTAGATTGGCAAACATGTTCATAATGTGAAGAAGGGTGACCGTGTTTGGGTGACGAATATGGGGAATGGAACCGCCGCCGATTATTGTGTTGTTGAGAAGGTTTGAAAAGCCGGCTGGATGAAGCTTTTTTTTTTTTAAACTCAAAAACTTTAGGCAGGACTCCTCCCGGATGGAGTGACGTTTGAGGAGGGTACTTGCATCGGAATTCCCTATCTCACCGCCTACACAGCTCTCTTCCACAACGGATCCGCTGATGCGAGAGGGGAAAAGCGAAAAGTGAGATAGATCTTTATGAAGATTATTTGAAGATAATATATTGGAACCGTAATGGAACCGTATTAGATCAAAATGTGAACAGTATTGGAACCGTATTAGATCAAAATGGGAACCGTATTGGAAAAACGTTTTTTACTGAGGAAATTTCAACTTTTTGAATGATTCAGGGGGTTTTGAGCAATCAATCTTGAGAAAATCGAGACGGCAACTTTAAAATCTTCCATTATTCCTTCTATTTTGGATGCTTTTTGAGTCAAACAATTGTTTAATGAGCTGTAGCGGAAATTCAGCTAAATTTATGGCAAAAATTAATCCGAAAAGTTTGAGCATAACCCACAAAAACGCAGAGTCAATTTAGTAGCTCATCGTTTCTTTCACGGGTAACGTTAAAATCGTTTTTCTAAAAATTTAATCAATACCAATTTTTACATGCTATCCAACTAAGAGAAAGCCAAAGTTTCATTAAAATTTGTTTACTCTAAAAAAAGTTAATAAGGGGAACACGTTTTTAGGCGATTTCTTCTAAAAAACCGCAATGTTTCAACTTGAATTTCTTGTGATAAAAGCACTGACGATCTAAAAAAAAACATTTTACTTTAAATTATAACTTAAACATAACTAGAATCATGATAAAAAGAAAAGAACAATAAAATGTTGTTAGCTTTTCGACAAAATTTTTATTTCTAGTTTGTTATCGCCTCGAAATAGGTACCATCTAAAGAAAGAATTGTTTTAAAAAAGCTTTAAGCAAATGTAATTCATTCAAACAAGTTTTTACTTGTTTTTTTTTGACGAATAGATGGAAGAAATAGCTTGGAAATCTGTTCACCTTATTAACTTTTTTTAGAGTAAACAGATTTTAATGAAACTTTGGATTTTTCTTTGTTGGATAGCATGTAAAAATTGGAATTGATCAGTTGATGGTATTGATTAATTTTTGGAAGATTGGTTTTAGATTGGTTTGATTGGTTAGATTGGTTAGATTGGTTAGATTGGTTTTAGATTGGTTGGTTTTAGATCGATCGGGCAATCGTTTGAAGCTCATTTTATCGAGGCTATCAATTAGAAATTGGTTTTAATTGATTTTAATACTTTTAAATAGAAACTCGGAAACAGTAGCCTGTCTAGGGGATGGACAAAGAATAGTGGAAATCGAATTTTCTTTTGTTTTGTTTTAGAAGCGACTCCTCGTGCATGGAGCTTCAGGCGCTGTCGGTTTGGCGGCGATTCAACTAGCTGCCGCTCATCCACAAACTTTTGATGTAAGATTGGATGATTGGATTGGATTGGATTGGATTGGATTAAACCTTTAAAAATTATTGCTACAATTTAGAAACGAAAATGTCGCGCTGGCGAAAGAAATTAGCTTTAGCATTAGCAATTAGCAATTAGCTTAGCGAAAGTTTCAAAAGTTTTAAGAGTTTTACAGTCAATTCTATTTTTGCATAAGCCTAAATCCTTCAAATTATCATTTATTTGCGAATTTAAAGTTGAAAAACCGATTTTCATATATTTGGACTTTTATTTAGAAGCTTTAAATGCTTTAAGGCTCAGGCTCTGAGCCTTTAAGACTCAGGCCCTGAGCCTGAGCCTAAGCCTGAGCCTAAGCCTAAGCCTAAGCCTAAGCCTAAGCCTAAGCCTAAGCCTAAGCCTAAGCCTAAGCCTGAACCTGAGCCTAAGCCTAGCCTAGCCTAGCCTAGCCTAGCCTAGCCTAGCCTAAGCCTAAGCCTAGCCTAGCCTAACCTAGCCTAACCTAGCCTTAGCCTAAGCTTTAGAATTGATTCCAGATTGTTGTCGGCACGGCGGGCAGCGAAGAGGGAGTGAAATTCGTGCAAGAGAATGGGGGAAATCATTGTGTGAATCATCGAAAAGATGGATACATTCAAGAGCTCAAGGACAAGTTTAAAGGTGAGACAAATGAAAGAAAAATAAAACAAAGAAGCTAAGTCGTATTCGGATAAAAATTTGGTCAAGTTTAATCTTGAAAACCCAGCTTTCAGGGTTCGATTTGGTGCTCGAGATGAACGCGCATCTTAACTTGAACAAGTCGATCGATGTGAGTTCTGTACTGGCTCTAGCACGCTCTAGCATGCTCTAGCATGCTCTAGCACGCTCTAGTACGCTCTAGTACGCTCTAGTACGTTCTAGTACGCTCTAGTACGCTCTAACACGATTTCTGGCACATTTCTTCTTTAGTGTGCCAGTGAGCAGGTTTAAAATTCTTTCTAGCACATTGTCCCTTCAGTGTGCCAGCGTAAAGTTCTGCGCTCTGCTAGTAAAGTTCAGGAGTAAAGTTCTGCTGAGTTCTGAGTTCTATGAGCTCTAAGAACTCTAGGAACTCTAGAAGCTCTATGAGCTCTATGAGCTCTATGAGCTCTCAAAAGCTTTATACCCACCGGGATCGAACCCCGGAAAGCTTTCCGCGCGAAACCTCTACCACTGAGCTGTAGGCTCATAGGGCTATCCTTTCAAGAATAGGAGAATCGTCCTTTTAAGAATAGGAGAACCGTTCTTTCAAGAGCCTCATAACAGCTTGAGTCTCTCTCTCTCTCTCTCTAGAATCTTCTATCCCTTTCAAAGCTCAAAGACATTGCTTGATTCAATATTTAATCGTATATCACAAGTCTCTAGTTAGATAAATTCAAATTCTTAAAATCCCTTCTTTAGAACTTCTTTAGTCTCAAATTTTTTTAGTTATTATCGATGAATGGTCGTGTGGTAGTGATTGGGAGTCGAGGACAAATCGATTTTGACCCTCGATCACTCATGAAGAAAGATGCTAGTGTTATCGGTTTGATTTTAAACGGATTTTTTTTTTTCGATTTTCAAATAGAAAACATAGAAAACTAAAAGTAAAGCGATGACTTTTCAGGTTGTGGCTTATCGAATTCACTTGAGGGCACTTTCAAAGAGTATTCAGCGGCAATTACACACTTTTTCGCAAACACAAAGTTTCGACCGAGAATTGCACAAGTCTATGAGCTTGAGGACGTCTCGAAAGTGAGTTGAGGAGATTGAGGAGATCTTGGAAGTGAGTTGAGGAGATTGAGGAGATCTTGGAAGAGTTGAGGAGCTTGAGGAGATCTTGGAAGTGAGTTGAGGAGCTTGAGGAGATCTTGGAAGAGTTGTGGAGTTGAGGAGATTGAGGAGATCTTGGAAGAGTTGAGGAGATTGAGGAGCTTGAGGAGATCTCGAAAGTGAATGAAGAGGGATAATTGAAAGTAGAAAGAACAGGAATTTCGCTACCGTATTTATTCTAATAGAAGCGTATGCACTTATTTTGATTGAATTGCAAGAGAAACTTCTCAAAATTGCAAATTTTATGAATTTTTCTCAAGGAAATTTCTGATATAGCTTTAAATTTTCAAAATTAGGTATTCAGTCTACTAGGCTGAATATCCATAATTGTTGTCTCGATTGGAGACTGCGCTTTGATTTTTCATTCATTTCATAAAATTGTTTCTGTTAAAGGCTGAGCTTTTATTTTCAATCATTTCATAAAATTGTTTCTATTAGAGGCTGAGCTTCTATTAGAGGCTGAGCTTCTATTAGGGGCTGAGCTTCTATTAGAGGCTGAGCTTCTATTAGAGGCTGAGCTTCTATTAGAGGCTGAGCTTCTATTTTTCAATCATTTCACAAAATTGCTTCTATTAGAGACTGCAAATTTGGTTCCCTATCTCAACAAATTTGGTTCCTTATCTCCCTAAATTTGGTTCCCTATTTTCAACCATTTCATAAAATTCCTTCTATTGGAGACTGTGCTTCTATTAGAATGAATACGAGATTCAGTATTGCTGTCTGAATACTATTCTCGTGTACTCTATTCTCGTACACTCTATTCTCGTACACTCTATTCTCGTACACTCTATTCTCGTACACTCTATTCTCGTATACGATAAGCTAAAGATAAGCTTACTAGATTCCTTATCTTTGAAGATAAGCTTTTCTTTGAAGTTATCATTGTAAACATTCAGGCCCACGCAGCAGTGACCGCTGGCGGACCAACGAACGGACAAGTGGTAGTGAGAGTGGCGAAACTTTAGAATAAAAGAGGATTTGAATAAATATTATCTAATTTACTTGTTGTTACTTATTTTATAACATTTAATAGCATTTAATAATTAATAATACAGTCAAATATCGTTAGTAAAACTCGTTAGTAAAACTCTAGCAAATAAACCTCTTTCGTTAACTTTTCTAGCATCCCTTTAACAATAAAAACATTGAATTCAATCTCGATAGTTTAAAAAATAGTTTTGTGTATACAATTTAAATGAAAATTTGTGAATTGCACACTTTTTGAGCCAAATTGGGACTCGTTTTAGAAGAACAAGAACAAGAACTAGAACTAGAACTAGAACAAGAACAAGAACTAGAACAAGAACTAGAACTAGAACTAGAACAAGAACAAGAACTAGAACAAGAACTAGAACTAGAACTAGAACTAGAACAAGAACAAGAACAAGAACAGGAACAAGAACAGGAACAAGAACAAGAACAAGAACTAGAACTAGAACTAGAACTAGAACTAGAACAAGAACTAGAACAAGAACTAGAACAAGAACAAGAACAAGAACAAGAACTAGAACAGGAACAAGAACCAACAACCAACAACCAACAACCAACAACCACACTGAATTGCACACACACTTGAAGCTGATTTCGTGAGAGAATTTAAAGTTATTCAGTCAAGAGCACTGAATAGCTTAAATCCCCCCAAAAAAAAATTCAGCTATTTCGCATTTCGCATTCGCAAATTTGGCGCTAGGCTAATTTCCGCAATTTTTTTTCTTTCCGCAATGTCGAAAATGGTTTAAACACGCTTTCAAAGTGGCAACGAAAGTCTCCAGGATGAGCCGCATGAGAGGAGTGACTCCACGAGTGACTGATGTGGATTTGCTGCCAGAAATTGCAGAGAATCCAACACTGACTAGACGAGAATTGGCAAATGATGAAGATTCAACACTCACGACGCGAGAATTGGTAGCAATTGAAGAGAATCCAACACTTACTACTGGAGAATTGGCAAGAATTGAACAGGTTTCAACACTCCTCCTTCAATTCAACACGAGAATTCGCAGAAATGTTCGATGTTGCAGGCTAATTATAAAGATGAAATGCACGAAAGAAAGCGGAAGCGGTCAAGAAACGCAAATGATTTTTGGGGTAGACTAATTTCCGCAAATTTTTTTTTCTGCGCAACAGGGTCGTGCGCGCAACTCGCCATAACTTTCTTCTAAGTCGGTCAATCTTTATGCTTTTGGTGCCATTTTGTTGCACTTGTTGAGATCTACAAAATGACACCAAAATCATAAAAATTGGTGGACTTAGAAAAAAGTTATGGCGAGTTGGGCAAAGAATTTGACGCAAAGTAGCCAACCCCAATTTATCCAATCCTTATCCCTGAGGAGTTGTGGCAGTATCGAGAAGTCGTGGGCGAGCTTCTTCTCCTTTGGTGATCGTTGGATGAGCGCCAGGTCCATCGTCTTCTTCATGAACTGAGAGTTCCCGTAAGTGAGTCTTGCTGACCATAGTAGCTCTTCCAGACGATCGCGCAAATAACCCTGTTGCGCAAAAGAAAATTGCGGAAACGTGTACGCCCAAAAAAATGTAATAATGGAAATTCGTCTAGACACGATATAAAATCGATTTTCTCGTTTTCCCTTGATTTATTTTCTAAAAACGTTTGACTCTGATATGTTTTTAAAAAAATTGTTTCTTTATTTTTCGCTTTCTTTCTTGTTCTTTCTTTATTCTTTATTGTTCTTTCCCTTTACTAAAATACCTGTGAAAGCCAAGCGCTCTTGAGGCATTCGCTGGCGGTTAGACGTTCACTGAAATTTTCTTGATTTTCTTGAATTTTCTTGAATTTCCCTGAATTTCTTGACTTTTCTCTAAATTGAGATTAGATTTTTATTATTTGAGATATTAGATTTTGTGTTTTATTAGATTTTTAAGTGTTTGATCTAGTTGTTAGATACATTCATCTATCTACCTTTTTGGGCCAATCATCGTCGCAATAAGCGCCATCAATGAGGCTGAGTGGCGTGCAATTGGTTGTTGTTGTTGTTGATGTTGTTGCTGCTGATGTTTCTGTTCGATTCGATTTCTTTTCTGTTGTTCGTTGTTGTTATGTTGTTGTTGTGGTTCTGTTGCTGTTGCTTTGTTGCTGTGTTGTTGCTGTTGTTGTTGTTGGCTGTTGTTGCTGTTGTTGCTGTTGTTGTTGCTGTTGTTGTTGTTGTTGCTGTTGTTGTTGATGTTGTTGTTGATGTTGTTGCTGTTGTTGCTGTTGTTGTTGTTGATGTTGTTGCTGTTGTTGCTGTTGCTGTTGTTGTTGCTGTTGCTGTTGTTGTTGTTGTTTGGTTGTTGTTGGTCTTCTAAAACTTCCAACTTGGCTAACAAGAATATTAATGATCGAATACCATTAGATGAATGGTATGCTCGCCTTAGATCAATGGCTCAGGCCCCTGAGCCTGAGTCTAAGCTCTATTTCCAGCTGTTAAAGCCTACCGTAACGCACGTGCCTCACCCCAGCAAAGTAGCGAAAGCACGGCTCCATAGGACCTAAAAAGCATTGAAATTGTTCCAATTGTTATCCCAGTCTCAAGCAGTATTTGCTGTGAGTTACGGTAAATTCCAGGGCTGTTTGAAAGAGTTTTTAGACTGTACGAACTATGCAGAGTGTTCAATCACTACCTGAACTCAGTTTTTTCCTTGTAGCACTCAGATTTCAAATCATTTAAGTCCATTTAAGTACATTTAGGTCCATTTAGGTCCATTTAGGTCCATTTAAGTCCATTTAAGTCCATTTAGGTCCATTTAGGTCCATTTAGGTCCATTTAAGTCTATTTAAGTCCATTTAGGTCCATTTAGGTCCATTTAAGTCCATTTAGGTCCATTTAGGTCCATTTAGGTCCATTTAAGTCCATTTAGGTCCATTTAGGTCCATTTAGGTCCATTTAAGTACATTTAGGTCCATTTAAGTCTATTTAAGTCCATTTAGGTCCATTTAAGTCTATTTAAGTCTATTTAAGTCCATTTAGGTCCATTTAAGTCTATTTAAGTCCATTCAAGTCCATTTAGGTCCATTTAAGTCTATTTAGGTAGATGTATCTCTTTTTGGGTATATTGTAAGTACTTGGTAGTACCCGTTGTACTCAGGAATGCTCTAGAACTGGAGCAAGGTCTTACCAAACGTCAGCAGCCATTGTCGGCGCTTCGGTTTCGGCTTCAGGCGCTCGAAATCGGCTGTCCCCGTCGGACCAATCCGTAGAACCATTCTGATATTTGCAATTGCAATCCTGTTATCGTTGGTGGGCCGGGGAGGGCCGGGGGCCGGAGAGGGGCCCGGGAAGGGGCCCAGGGCCGGGGGCCGAGGGTCGAGTTTCTAACCAACTTGTATCCCACTTTTAGATAGGTTTCTGTTAATAACTTTTGATAAAACAAATAGTTTCTTAAATTTAACGTTCTAAGCTATCAAAATTTCATTAAAACTTCGTGATCTGATGAGTTTAAGGTGCTTAAAAATGAGGTGGAAGTTGGGGGAAAAATTGGCTCCCACCGATAGTCGCCGGCCGCCGTTTAGCGTAAAGATCCCTTGAAAAGATCAATTTTATATAAGATCTTACCAATTTTAGAGTTCTTTAAAAGGCTTCTTTAAACGACTGCTCTAAAAGATTCTAAAAAGAATATAAGTACCCATTGAGCGCATCCAAAGTCGATCAAAGTAGCTCTGCTCTCGACAAGAATATTCTCTGGCTAAAACTCTTTGAAACAGCTAAATAACAAAAAAAACCTTAACATCTAAATGAATGATTCCTTTATTGTGAATGTATTCAAGTGCAGAGAAGATTTGTCGAGAGATTTGTTGAAGAATTGCCTCTGAGAAGTAGCCCAATTCACAGACGAAACTCACAATGTTGATGCCGACAACTCTAGGAGTGCAAATGAAAAGGAAATTGGTTTGGAAAGGATTTGAAGCTTGAAGCTTGGCTCAGGCTTAGGCTCAGGGCTCAAGCTCAGGCTCTGGCTAAGCCTAAGCTTGAAGATTGGCTCAGGCTTAGGCTCAGGGCCCAGGGCTCAGGCTCAGGCTCAGGCTAAGCTTAAGCCTGAGCTTAAAGCTTAAAGCTTGAAGCTTGGCTCAAGCTCAGGCTCAGGCTCTGGCTAAGCCTAAGCTTGAAGCTTGAAGCTTAAAGCTTGAAGATTGGCTCAGGGCTCAGGGCTCAGGGCTCAGGCTCAGGCTAAGCTTAAGCCTGAGCTTAAAGCTTAAAGCTTGAAGCTTGGCTCAGGCTCAGGCTCAGGGCTCAGGCTCAGGCTCAGGCTCAGGCTAAGCTTAAGCCTGAGCTTAAAGCTTAAAGCTTTGAAGCTTGGCTCAGGCTCAGGCTCAGGGCTCAAGCTCAGGCTAAGCCTAAGCCTGAGCTTAAAGCTTAAACCTTAAAGCTTGAAGCTTAAAGCTTTCTTTATCAATCTAGCTTATCAATCTTACCTTTTCATGACTAAAACTAAGCCACGATCCGAGATAAACGAGCCAAGAAACTCGGGAAGATTCGAGTGATTCATTTCTGTAAATCGTCAATTTGCCAATTGCCAATTGCCAATTTTTTTCTAATTTTTTTCCCATTTTTTTTCTCATTTTTTCCAATTTTCAAACCCTTTTTTCTCAGCATTGCTTTAAGCTAAAAAACTCTTTTATATCTTAAAAAAACACCCATTTTCTCGACTTTAATTTGATACTAAAGGGTTTAGAAATCAACGTTTCGATCACAAATTATGAGGGTTTTTTTGAGAGTGAAATTTGACTGTTAACTGGCTGTGCTCTTCGTTTAAAAAAACACGATTTAGCATTTGCATTTTCTATTCAATGCATCCCCTTCTGGCAGATTAATCACTGCGCTAGAAAGGCTGCGTTTACAAGCAAAGCAAAGCAAAGCAAACTTTAATACTTTACCTTGCAACATCGACGCCTCTCTCTCAATATCTTTTCGGCTGCGTCGAGCCGCGTAGACCTTAGCGGCTAGTTTCCTAAAAGTTAAACTCATTACAGTAAACTGGATTTCCGTAATCTACAGTAACCTTTTGTTAGCTTATTACAGAGGAAAGAAATGACAAGAAACTCTAGACTTTCTGCTTTAGATGCTTCTACGAATGAGCCATCTGCCTTCTTTACCCAGGGAAGACAGGGAAGGGAAAGAAACGAAGAAAGAAACGAAGAAAGAAAGGAAGAAAGAAAGAAAGAAAGAAATTGAAAGCCCCAGACCTTTAGAACCGTAATCCAATTCTAGAAAATATCCCCTACTTTGTCCAGCTTGAGTCAAAGAAAGATGGCTTTACAAATGAAGATATTCAAGCTGACAATGAACAATTGTCACTGACTGACAATGAATGATCCAACAGACCAAATAAGCCATAGACTATTCGAATTTTACATTGATTCCAAATATTTGCTTAATTTTTTGTGAAATCATTCTGAATCAAAGTGAAAAACAAAAAAAGAAAGCAGTAAGCGGTGTCGAACCCTCGACTAGCCGCCCTGTATTCTAACGACTATCCACTACACCACGGAACCATCTCGGGCGGTCCCTGCGTAAGCCTTATAAAGAGACCCCCAGCGATTTTGCAAAAACGAGTCAGCATAAAATTTCGGATGGTCTTATTTGGGTGAATTTCGGATGGTCCATTACGTTGTCGCGGTGGTCTAGTGGTTAGTGTCGTGGTCTACAGAACTGATCAAGGTGGGTTCGACTCCCAGCTTGGTTTTTTATTTTTCACAATGATATTTCTGATTATTATATAAGTAAAATATTATAAGAATTTGTAATATAATTATTATAATTATTATAATTATTATAATTATTATAATAATAATTATTTATTATTATTAATTATTATTATAATATGGCAAGCCATCGAGATGAGGCTATTTTCTCGCACAGCGAGTGCACGTATCAATCGATCGAAAGCCGGTCTTTACTTTCATTGCGCCTTTAGGTTTTCCACCCTCGCGCATACGCAAGACTCCTTGGTCCGTGTTTCAAGACGGATCGGATAGGTGATCGACTTGCACACCGAAGTCACGCTAGTCGCGACACGTCTCCCCGACACGCCATAAGTGGGCAACACTTGCCACAACACAGTGCCGGTTCGACGCGCACAATCAACCCACTCAGCGCATACAGACAACGAGTGCACCGGGCCCGAAGGACCCAAGGAACAAGTGCACCGGGCCCGAAGGACCCAAGGAATAAGTGCACCGGGCCCGAAGGACCCAAGGAACAAGTGCACCGGGCCCGAAGGACCCAAGGAACAAGTGCACCGGGCCCGAAGGACCCAAGGAACAAGTGCACCGGGCTGAATGTTGCCTCGTTACGTCGACTCCGTTTCGACTATCCGTTTCGACTCCAGTGGTTTCACGCACTCTTGAACTCTCTCTTCAAAGTTCTTTGCAACTTTCCCTCACGAACCCAACGATTCCTTTGTACTTTATTCAGTTCTACTAATCATTTAAAAAGTACATTTGTTTCCTCTTTACGTCATTTGCTCCAAAAACAAATGCCGTTCGTCCACGGCCAAGAATCTCCGAAAAAGCGAAATTTTCTTCAAATATTGGAAGATTTTTCTAGAAAAAAATTCATTAAATATTGAATTTTATTTTATTTTCTTTTATTTTCTTTTATTTTATTTAGATTTCTAAAAAGATATTCAATTAACTCACGATTTTTTTCGTTTCTTCTGTAAAATCAAGCTCAATCTCTTTCGATGCGTGACTTTGAAAGTGCAAATTGTAAGCGATCACTCGAACGCGATAGTGAGTGCAACGGAAATTTCTGTCGCAAAAAAAGATTTGAATAGATGCTTTGATAGGCTTTAATAGGGTTTAATAGGTTTTAATAGGGTTTAAAGAAGCTTTAATAGACTTTAATAGGGTTTAATAGGGTTTAATAGGTTCTAATAGGGTTTAATAGGGTTTAAAGAAGCTTTAATAGGTTCTAATAGGGTTTAATAGGGTTTAATAGGTTCTAATAGGGTTTAATAGGGTTTAATAGGGTTTAATAGGGTTTAATAGGTTCTAATAGGGTTTAATAGGGTTTAAAGAAGCTTTAATAGGTTCTAATAGGGTTTAATAGGGTTTAAAGAAGCTTTAATAGGTTCTAATAGGGTTTAATAGGGTTTAAAGAAGCTTTAATAGGTTCTAATAGGGTTTAATAGGGTTTAATAGGGTTTAATAGGTTCTAATAGGGTTTAATAGGGTTTAAAGAAGCTTTAATAGGTTCTAATAGGGTTTAATAGGGTTTAATAGGGTTTAATAGGGTTTAATAGGTTCTAATAGGGTTTAATAGGGTTTAAAGAAGCTTTAATAGGTTCTAATAGGTTCTAATAGGGTTTAATAGGTTTTAATAGAAGCTTTAATAGGCTTTAATAAGGTTTAATAGGCTTTAATAGGCTTTAATAGGCTTTAATAGAAGCTGCTTTCAAAATCTAGATACTTTTCGGTTTATAAACCCTCATCGCCAACAAAACGCTAACAAATATCCCCTACTTTGTCCAGCTTGAGTCAAGAAAGATGGCTTTTCAAATGAAGACATTCAAGCTGGACTGACAATGAATGATTTAACAGACTAAATAAGGTATGGGGATGAGTCTGGAGAGGTGTGGGGATAAGGGATCCTCATGAGTCAAAAGAGGTATGGGGATGAGACTGGAGAGGTATCACCATACCTCTTTTGGCCAACAAAACCCCAACAAAACGCCAACAAAACAAATGCCTCCTTGCTGTGGCTTATCGGAGGGTTATATAACCTTCTATAACCTTCTATAGCCTTCTATAGCCTTATATAGCCTTCTACAGCCTTCTACAGCCTTATATAGCCTTCTCTAGCCTTCTCTAGCCTTCTATAGCCTTCTATAGCATTCTATAGCATTCTACAGCCTTCTACAGCCTTATATACGCTCTTGGTTCAAGATTTGAGTTGACAACCTTTTGAAATCTATCCCCGATCTATACCCCGATCGATAACTGCATAGTATCGCTTTTAAAAAAACTATTTCCTAGTAGCGCAGCTGGCCCGGGAACCGAAAAGTACCCAAATCTGATCAATTGAAAGCTTATTCCTGATCTATGATCGATTCAAAGCTTATTTCAATTCAAAAACCAACCTCAAGACAACTTTATGCGTGCTGAGATCACTCCGAGCACAACGATACGCTGTCATCCCTGAAAAGCTGATGGCTTTGGCTGCAAAGCTGATTGCTTTATTGTCAACTTCTGGATCGAGATCCCAAAGCATTTATCTTTTCGAGTTTTCAAACATGATTTGCCCCAATTTCAAGGCATTTTTGGTCATAAACTTCGAACTTTACAGGGATTTTAGATAGTTTACCTAGCTTAGTTGTTTAGATGGGTTACCTAGCTTACCTAGCTTTGTCTAAGCTAGGTAAGCTCTAGCTCTAGCTTAGACAAAGCTAGAGTTAGGAGTAAGCCAAAAACAGAACCCAACCTCTGGTGGGAAAAGCCAAATGATTTGCTTGACTCTGGGAATCTGCCAAACTTCAAGCTAAACCTGGCTAGGATATAATGTAGCTTAGAGGTGATCTGATCAGGTCTGATCTTCAGAATTGATCTGATCAGGTGTGAGATCAGAGCTGGCCTTCAGAGCTGGTCTTCAGAGCTGATCTTCATGGCTGACCTTCAGAGCTAGTCTTCAGAGCTAGTCTCCAGAGCTGGTCTTTAAATCTGATCTGTCTTGACAAGCCAGGTCGAACAGCAGTGCTGTCACAGCATCCCAAGGTAGAAAGCCAAAGCCTGGCTAGATTGTAGATCAAAGGATTCTTTCAAAGCTGAAAAAACCTCACTAAAAGCTCACTAAACAAAGCTAGACCAGATACTGGTTTCTGGCCTTGCCTACCTAGCTAAACCCACCTCAGCCTAACCCAGCTAAAACTGACCTTTCTCTCTTACACTTTTCTATATCCAAGCATAAATTCAAAAGGATTAAGAATGAGAATCTCCTCCAATCACGAACCATCTCTCGTGTATTCCACCAAATATTTGCATTCCCTTTCCCCGATCCATTGCAATCGAATCGAGCAAGGGCCGATGATCTCATGGTGGAGACCTTGAGGTGTTGCGGGACGAGTGTGAACGGTTAACTGAAAATTCTAAGATCTAAAGATTTAGTTCTACCCACCAAAGCCTCCGTTGATGTTGTGCCGAATTGATTGGTGGCTATGATTGAATATGGACCGGAATGGAGATCCTTGCACTTCTCGATCATCAATTTTGTGTTCCCCTTCCAAGCCTGATGAGGAAAGGTATCGTTATTTATAGTAAAGAGGGACAGAAATGATTTTCAGGGCAGTCTAGGCTAAGTAGAGCCGGATCCAGGTCTAGATCTGGCTCCAGGTCCAGGGGCAGATCCAGATCCAGGTCTAGATCCAGATCCAGCTCTAGTTCTGGATCCAAGTCCAGATCCAGGTCCAGATCCAGATCTAGGTCTAGATCCAGATCTAGGTCTAGAATCAGATCCAGCTCTAGTTCTGGATCCAAGTCCAGATCCAGGTCCAGATCCAGATCTAGGTCTAGATCCAGATCCAGGTCTAGATCCGGATCCAGCTCTAGTTCTGGATCCAGGTCTAGATCCAGATCTAGGTCTAGAATCAGATCCAGCTCTAGATCCAGATCCAGGTCTAGATCCAGATCTAGGTCTAGAATCAGATCCAGCTCTAGATCCAGATCCAGGTCTAGATCCAGATCTAGGTCTAGAATCAGATCCAGCTCTAGATCCAGATCCAGGTCTAGATCCAGATCCAGCTCTAGTTCTGGATCCAAGTCCAGATCCAGGTCCAGATCCAGATTTAGGTCTAGATCCAGATCCAGGTCTAGATCCAGATCCAGCTCTAGTTCTGGATCCAGGTCCAGCTCCAGATCCAGCTCTAGATCCGAACTATAGATCTATGGCCA